TGAGCCCAAGAGTTTGAGGTTGCTGTGAGCGATGATGCCACAGCACTCTACCAAGGGCAACAAAGTGAGATTCTGTTTCAAAAATAAATAAATAAAATAAAATAAAATAAAATCATATAGTACATCTCAAATTCAACTAGCCGCAGTTCAAGAACTCAACTCAGTTCAGTACAGCACAGATCTAATGGCTATATGGCTATACTAGACAGCAAGATCTAGAGCATGGCCATTCTGCCTCTAAAACTTAACTCTCTGAGTTCTTACTACAACCCCAGAAACTAAGATCCATCTACTCTTCTATAGGACAGGAGGCAAAGAAGATTCTGTCCCTACTTTGGCTTAGTACAGAATGCAGTATACCCCAAGTCTCCCCTACAGTGCCTGTCCCCCACCTCTCGGGCCAGCTGGCTGCTGACCTCTCACCTGCTGGACGGCAGCCAAGCTATGCAGCTGGGCATTACTGAGCTGCTGCTGGAGCATGAACTGGTGGAAATACTGAGCTGCATTGGGCTGTCGCTGAAGTGCCTGCAGAGCCTAAGAGGAGAAAGAATAAAACATTCTAGAATTAATCACTCTTAACTCCTATTCTGTGCAAATCACTCTATTTGTGGGAAAGGGAGCCACTAGAAAGACAGAAAGCAAAGTAGATGAGAGATTGGACTAAATTACATATCAACATTGGATTCCTCCACTTTTATATTAGAATTAGTAAGTTTATATAATCCTCTAAAGCCTAGCAAAGCAATTACAGTCATGAGCTATATAATGACTTTTCACTCAACAACAAACCACATATTCCAGTGGTTGGAGCAATAGGCTATACCACGTAGCCCAGGTGTGCAGTAGGCTACACCATCTAGATGTATGTTAAGTACACTCTATGATACTTGCACAATGACAAAAATCACCTGATAGATTTCTCAGAATATATCCCCATTGTTAAGCAAAGCATAACTGTAATTATGTGGCATATTCACTTATACAGAGAAGTGTAATGCAATCCAGGTCACACAAACCCTTATTTCTTCTTCTTTTTCTTTTTTTTAAGACAGAGCCTCAAGCTATCCCCCCTGGGTAGAGTGCCATGGCATCACAGCTCACAGCAACCTCCAACTCCTGCGCTCAAGCGAGTCTCCTGCCTC